ATGTTTATCATGTATTTGATTATGTTTATCTGCAGTTAATTACACGAATTCAGATATGGAGTTTTAATAAATTGTACTTAGGCACAAACTTATAATCTTGAATTTTAAATAATATATATTAATAAACAATAATTTACAAATAAAAAATAATTTTTAAAAGTTTTCAAAAGGTTTATAATATAGCAGTGATATTATATTATTATAAACTCACCGATTTGTAAATATAGCCTATAACTAATAAAATATAAAATGTTGGAAAAAGGTACAAAATAAAACAGTGATTTGTTATTTTGCTCCCTCTGATGTTTCAGTGTTACATTCCCGATCTCTTTTTATCCACTTATGTCATTTATCACCCTTCTATTTACGTTTTTTCTCTTTTTATCTTCTCCTGAACTGAATTATTGCATTTTGGTTCAAACTCCCTTCAAACTTTTTATTGTACATCAAACATGATTTGTTGCCCCTTGAAAAAGAGCCTAATGTACAATGTAAGAGTTTAACTATTAATATGAACACAAGTAAATCAAAAAACACTCAAAGGGCCTTTGGCTTAATGGTTCAAATCTCATCATGGTGAGGAGGGTGTGTGAGTTTATTTGTTGCATTTACCGTGAATGATTCCAGACAACTTAATGGTTTCGAAGGAAGTGACATCTGCAAGTGTTGCTGACTTGACATTTAGGTTTCTCCTTTTCATAGTACCCACGGCAAACACCCTGCTCTCGATCCAAAGGTGAATAGGTCTAGAGGGACAAGGAAGGTATAGTTTTAGCGCTCTTTTAGAGCTTGCTTTATTCACAACCTAAACTTGAGAAAGGGAAGGGGAAGGAGTAGGGCATTTTCTTGAATCACACCCATCGAAGACCCCACAACCCTTGTTATTGGGATCGCTTCCCGAGGACTTATGCCCCGAACTATACACACTCACAAAGCGACACGTCGTATATAAAATATATTATATATTTAAAAAAAAAGGTAAAACAAAAAACAAATACATATGTAAACAAATCCAAATACCTAATTTTAACAGTTTGAATTTAAATTTGAATCAGTTTCAATCTATGATTTATTTCTCTGACAACTTTATGCATTTTGTTTTCAATCAAATTATGTAGAATTGGGTGCTTCTTTTATTACATGCTAGAGGTGCTTATGAGTTGAGTTGATTGAGTTGAAAACATTTGAACAACTCAACCTAATACTTATGGTTTGAAAATTCTTAACACAATCCAACTCAAACCAAAGTGCAACCCAACCCAAACTGTACGGGTTGGTCGGGTTGATATTTTGGTACATTAAAATATTATATAATCTTAAATGTGTTATTTCTCTACACATAATTTTTTTTTTCATCATCAACTATTTAATACAACTTATTTTTAGTTCTTACGTATATAACATTCGTTAATTTTCTCAATTTACATATACATGTTCACAATTACTGAGCATATATACGAATGAATTATATAAAGATGAGAATAAATTGAAACTATGTGTATATGAAAAACATATGTGATAGTGTAATTGTCTACTGTATATATTAATAAAAATTCAACAATCATATTAAATCCAAGAAATAAAATGATATCGGGTTGGGTTTAAAAAATAGTAACCTAATATCAACCCAATACCTACGGTTTGAAAATTTTACAACTTGATTATCGTTACTCCAAGGATACTCTCATAGTAAAATTATCTTTTAATCATTGTTGTATAATTAATTATATATAACATATACGTGCATTGTGCTATCATTTAAATTAATCTTATATCATATAAACATTTAATTTTTTTTACGATTTTTAAATACAATTATTACAAAATAGTTCCAGATGTAATATTTACCAATCTGACATGGTTATCTAGTTTTACATGATACTTAATAGAAAACATACAACTACTTCATTAATAAACATAAAAATATTTATGATAAAAAGTAATAATTATTAAGAGCACTTTTGACGTTTAATGAATAATTAATTTTTGTATTAAATGTCAATCAAGTATTGAATTTTCTGAAAGGAATATTTTCGTCATGTAAAACCCCAAGGAGCTTATCTGGTACTATTTATAATTAAAGGGGCTTATTTTACAACAATATAAAGTTAAGGGATGTAAATGAAGATTCACACAGATCACGATGTTCTTCATAAAAACCAAAAACTACAGTGCTCAGCCACTAAAATTCAAACTTGTTCATGTTCCTCCACCAACCTCGATTCACAACTCAAACAAACCATAAATTCAAATTTCACAATCACACACACCGTCTTCCTCTCTCGATCTCTGCAACTCCTCGTTGCATTTCAAAAATCCATGATCACCATCTTCAACAACTGAATTCAACACCATGGATTTCGCTCAGTTTCTTCTGTTCTTTTGCAGTTTCACGACATTCATATCTCTCTCTTCTTCACTGAACTCTGATGGGATTTCTTTGTTAGCACTTAAGGCTGCCGTCTCCGCCGATCCAACTAACTCACTCGCCAACTGGATCGAGTTAGAGTCAACTCCGTGCCACTGGGCTGGTATTTCCTGCAACTCCGACCAACTCGTCACCAGCATCTTTCTTCCAAACAAGAGCCTCACCGGCTACATCCCATCGGAGCTCGGAGCCATTCTATCTCTCCGTCACCTCTCTCTTTCCGGAAACAACTTCTCCAAACCCATCCCCGATCACCTCTTCAATGCCGCCGGTCTACTCTCTGTCGACCTCTCCCACAACTCTCTCACCGGACCCATTCCGGAGAATGTGAACACTTTGGCATCTCTCACTTTGTTGGATCTTTCTTTCAATTTATTAAATGGGTCACTACCGGAATCTCTAGGCAACTTGACCCATTTCTCTGGAACGCTTAATTTGTCGCATAATCGTTTTACCGGCGAAATTCCGGCGTCTTATGGGCAGTTTCAGGCGATTGTTAGTTTAGACCTCGGGTATAATAATCTCACCGGAAAGATACCAGAAGTACGTTGTCTGCTTAACCAGGGACCTAACGCGTTTACTGGAAACCCGTTTTTATGTGGATTTCCCTTACAAACGCAATGCACTTACCCGGAAGCTCAGAACCCTCGGGTTCTGCCTAACCCAGATAGCAAAGATCCTGGATCCTTGACTGGGTTATCGAGTAAACAGAAAGGGGATTCGAAGAGGGTTACGGTACCTTTGATCTCAGGCGTATTGGTGGTTATCAGTGTTATATCTGTTTCTGTGTGGGTCTACCGGAAAAAATGGAGGTTCAGTGATGGTAAAATCAGAGAAAAAGAAAACTTGGAGAAGGGGCAGGTGAGAGTGAGTCTGGGTACGAGGGAAGAAGTGCAAGATGGTAAATTTGTTGTGATGGATGAAGGGCTTGGTTTGGAATTAGAGGATCTTTTGAGGGCATCAGCTTATGTTGTTGGGAAGAGCAGTAACGGGATAGTGTACAAAGTGGTTGCTGGGCGGGGCTCCGGCACGGCAGAGGGTGCGGTGCTTGCCGTGAGGCGGTTGAGTGAAGGCGAGGGGAAGTGGAAGCTGAAGGAGTTTGAGAGAGAGGTGGAGACGATAGGGAAGGTACAACATTCGAACATAGTGAGGTTGAGAGCTTATTACTACACAAATGATGAGAAACTGCTGGTTTCAGATTTTATCAGCAATGGAAGCTTGTACTCTGCGCTCCATGGTATGTTCATTACTATGCCACAGATTTTATCAGCAATGGAAGCTAATTCATTATAAATGTAATTATTACTAAACCAGTCTAATAAGTTGTTTTGCTTTTGTTATAAAAGATAAAGACGGCATTGCAAACCCTTTGGTGCCATTGTCGTGGGCAGCAAGGTTAAAGATCGCACAAGGCATCGCAAGGGGTCTAGCCCATATTCATGAGTGTAGCCCGCGAAAGTATGTTCACGGTGGTCTAAGGTCGTCCAAGATCCTTCTCAATGGTGATTTGGAGCCCTTCATCTCTGGATTCGGGATCAACCGTCTCATGCCAGTCACCCGCTCGAAGAGTCATTCCCGAAAGCACCACGTGGCTCAAAATGCTAAGTTTTCAGGCCAAAAATGTGATGTGTACTCGTTTGGGATCGTGCTTTTGGAGATTTTAACGGGACGGACTCCAGACAGCGGGGATGGAAATGACGGAAAGGATTTGGAATGCGTTGTGAGGAAGGCGTTTCAGGAGAGAATGATGTTATCGGAGATTATTGATCCTAGCCTTTTGAAGGAAGTTCAGGCAAAGAAACTAGTCGTGGCAACGTTTCATATCGCACTCAGTTGCACCCAACTTGACCCTGATGCTCGACCCAAGATGAGAATGGTCTCGGATAGCCTTCACCGAATCAAGCTTCCTTGAATTTTGATTCGGAATCTATTTGTTTATATCATTCTTGTTTTACATTATCCGTTCCTGTATAACACCACAAGTAATCCACACGGCTTGAACCACATCCTACCCGCATTTTACTCTGTTTGCTCTCGGATCGCACCTTAGCAGCATAACAACAGCCACAAGGGCGACTCTGCCACGGCTTAAGTCACACGACAGTCGCCCGACCTTCCCATGCTGCACGCACAAACACACTTGTGCGGGTGTCGTGCGGGTGTCATGCGGCTATGGCCGCGCCGCATCACAACCACATTCTACATTGTTTTCTCACATCAACCCCCGACCAAACAGAGGTTTAGGCGCCTATGGCGCAGGTTTAGCCGCCATAGAAGGGTGCCCGAGGGTCCGACCACTCGAACGACCCTTGATGTGACCGGTAAACCCCCGAACTCTCCCGAATTAACCAAGGCCATCCCGAACTTTGAAAGGGCAATAAATTCAACTTTATATATAAGAAATTGGGAGATGACCGGATCTTTTTACAACCTAAGATTTTCTGCAAGTTCCACGGGTGTTACAATAATAAACTTTAAACAAAAATCATTATTTAACCTATAAACTTTCTACCTGTGAATTTCGTCAAGAAAATCGGAACAATCAAAGTTTATTAATGAAACAATACTATAAGCTTTAGATATCATAATAACATTCTTAACTATGACATCAAATATGCCAACACATCATCATAAAGAACACGCTATTTAAGCATAGGTATAAAATCATGCATTAATCTGAACGCATGTAACTTATTACAAAATAATGAACTTTGTAAGCGTTACATATGGTTTGACACCACAGATATTCCCAACACGTTTTCATACATAACATTTTCTAAAAATATTAGGAATGTGTATTATGCATAAAATTATTAATTCATCTAACAATAAATTGTAACTAAATAACATGTCCGTACGAGTTTACAAATAATGAATTTTATGCATGTGTCGTGTGCGTACCCTACTTTGGGAAATATATTAGACTCACATTGGCTTTAAGGCCATTCCTAACATTTTATATCCCGTTGACGGGATGAAAAAAGGACCATCGATAAGTATAAATTGTTTTTCAAATATATTGTTTTTAGCATAAAAAATAACATTGAATTCAAAGAATAGAAATAATTTATATAAAATCTTTTTATTCAGTATTCCTAAACGCAAAGTCAATCAATAATTATTTTAAATTAATATTATTTACCATATCATCTTCAAATAACGTCATCGTTGTTTCATCATCAAACACGTCATATGTTATACCTTTTGTGTGTGTGTATATATATATATATATATATATATATATGGTATATTTCAAATACAACCATGTCTATTTATACAACCAATGTAACCCAATTAATTGAGATATTTATAGAAATGATGAGAGTTCATTTATCATTAAGAATCACAATCATTTACTATTTAGAGTAACACTTTATGTAAATCAATATAAATAAATTGGGTTTCAATGTTACCTCATGGCTAATGTTAATGTTTTTCATTGCCATTTTAAACTTTTAGAGTCAAAACAAACTTTTTCGGAATCATCAATCTTAGATCAAAAGTTAATGTTGGTTATAATTTAAGATTTTATTATTGTTTTTGAGATTGAAAGGTACTTAAGTTTCATGCATCCCAAACTGGGTAATAAGAAGTAGTTTTCTAGAAAGGTACTTATTATTAGTTAATACTTTATCTACTATATTGTAATACAAAAATAGAATTCGTGTGGATGGAATAATCAAAAAGATCAGTTGAAAATGAATGGTGAAAAATATATCATGGTTTTCTAGAAACGTAGTTTTTAGATTTTGGTACCAAATTAAAAACTTAGAGAGAAATAATAAACAATACTATTAAATAAATGACTAATTAACTTTTTACGTATATTTATTTCTCAATGTAATTAATTAATATATATTTGGACCTTCAATATAATACTAAATTATTTTATGATTTTATTATATTCAAAAAAATGTGTCTCTTTTATTTACTAATATTTAGAACTATTACTTTCCACGTCTCAAAATAAATTAGTTTGTCCCAAAATTAAGTGTGTACTTTAAAAAGTAATTGGTTACTTTCCCGTTCTATCCTTAATTATGAGATATATAAATTTCTCTCTATGTAATTAAAGACAAAATGTCATTTTGTTAATTAAAAAGTGTAATAATTACATATTTTTAAAACTATGTCTTTTTCATTATAAACATTTATTTTATGACGGATCTCCAATAAATTTTCCAAAATAAAGATTTTGAATATTTTTTACTCCAATAAATTTTCCAAAACTTTCCTCCAAAATGGAGAAAGTATGAAATAGAGAATTAACCACAAGGGTGGTGCCTGATTGGTTTGAGTTTGACTCCAAAGGTTAAAAGTATCAGGAGGTCCCAGATTCAAATCCAAGGAGAAATAAAAATCCTCTTGTGGCCACAGAGGTTCAAATGCGGTGATTCCGGGCTATCTGCAAAGCAGGTGGTCATCCTAAAATTAGTCGGTTAGCGTAGCGGGTTGAATATCCAGATTAAAAAAAGAGAATGAAATTCTCCAAATTTAAAAATTTCTTTAAATGATTTTTTATTCATTATGTCAATAAAATTACTTGAAAATAAATTAAATGTTATAGACAAATAAATAATGTTTTTATGAGTCATGTTTAATATTATAATAATATAATTATTTGTATAATCTTTAAAATAAAGAATTTATTGAAAATGAAGTTAATTTATTTTTTGAGATTTTGATTTTTAATTCTTTATTTTAGAAAATCTATTGGAAATGTTCTTAAAATATTTCCAAAAAATGAAGATTTTGTGAATTTCTTCTGTTCTAACAGATTCCTTGAAATGGAAAAAGTATGAGAGAGGAGATGAAATTCTTAAAATTTCAAAGATTTCTACAAAAATGATTACCTACGAGATATAAATAATTTCGTTATTCATCCTTTACGTGAAATTAAATATTTAAGAAATACACATAATATTTTAATAATATAATTAATTATGTAATTTTTAAAATAAATAATCAATTAAAAATAAATATAATAATTTTTTTAATAAATTTTGACTTTTATTTCTCTATTTTAAAAAATGTACTCAAATATGATTGTAATAACCCAAAAAATAATAATAATAAATAAATAAATAAATTGAATGCAATTTAATGACGGGAAACTCAATGGTCATGAAACCTACGACCATTTATTATGGCTTATCGTTTCATATTCCGTGAAACCACCGATGACTTAGTATATATATATGGGGAGGTCTTCAAGCATAGAGATGACAAATTCTCGGGAAAGGAAACTCGTATAAGAGAGGTGAAAGATGAGGATGATTTGGTGAAGCGCAACAAGTTTGATGCGTTTTTGGGAGTTTGTAGCTTTATGTGTAGTTTGGGGTTAAGAAGGAGAACTATTGTGAGAAAATGCGACGGTGGACGCTGTAATGAGAGTTGACCGTGCTCTACATCGTAGTTAGTTTGACACCAATCGGGGAGACGCTAGCTACTTCAAAGATCGGTTTGGGCTACGCCATGTATTGTGAGTTACACATGATTTATTTTTAAAATGGTTGCATGCCTTATTATCCAAAAGTTGTTTGAAGTTTATCGAGATTTTTGATATGCTATATATGCATGAAAAGTTCCATATTTTTATAATATGTGTTTTGAGTACTTGTGTGTCAATAAGGATGTACTACGGTATGATTTTGTAAAGACGAGCATGCTTTGTGAGCTTGTCTAAGCCGTAAATGCGGACATGCTGTGTGAGTTCGTCAGGTAATGCTGTGTGAGGTAGACATCTCTCATGACACTGTTGCTTTGTGATGTAGACACGCACTATAAAATATTTATTTTGTGAAAAGTATTATTCTCATCAAGGCATGTTAAATTTATGAAGCTTTGTGAAAATTGTTTATTATAAAAGTTGTTGTTCATGCATGAAAACTGTGGATTCACTGGGCCTAAGGCTCACCCAAAA